CGGTTTTTTCCCCCCCCAAAAACCATCCATTAGGTTTCCCCCTTCAAATTCGGGCTTCGCTTGTTTTAAATTGGGGGGGGAAAAAAGTTTCCCCCAAAAGCGGGGGGTCCCCCCAGGGTTCCCAGATCAGGGTACCTTTTAAAAAAATTTTGTTTTTTCACCCCCCCGAAACCTTTTTTTTTTTTCATTGGTCAGCGGGGAGGCGGGGTGGAGCAAAAAAACAAAAAAAGAGGGGGGGGAAAACTTTTAGAAAGGGGGGGGGGCTCTTTCCCGGGCCGGGCCCGGGTTTTTTTTTCCCCCGGTTTTGGGGGGAAAAAAAATAGACAAAGGGAAAGCCCCCTTTTCCCCCTTCCGTTTTTTTTTGTTTGGGCCCTCCCCCATCCGGGCCCCCCCTCCCGTTTTCCCCCCCCCCCCCCCCCCCCACGACACCAAAAACACTTCCAGAGCAGATATGCTTCTTTTCCCAACCAACACCGCCGGTGCTAATAGGCGGAAAGGCTACCTTACCTGCACGCGGTGCACTTGTACTGGGACCCCAGAGCGGTGAAGAGCACGACGACGCTGTACGGCCTCGACTTGCCGCCCGTGTAACGGGTGAAGTTGCCGTCCGCTAGCGTCACCACAGGCCCCCGGCTGGCCAGGTGGTCCACCCTCTTCTCCGTCGCGCTTTGTCCTCCCTGTTTCCATTGTTTTTTACAGTACAGTAATACGTAACCCCAAGATTTTGAAGACCTTTATGTTCAGCTGATCGAACACAAGAGTAAAAAGCGCCAATTCGCTGGAAAGAGGAGGTGGACGGTTGTGGACGTATGTTGTGTGCTACAAGGGGGGACATAGATTAGAGTCGTGAATAGAAAAAACGAGATTTCTTTACCGCGATGTTTCCTTGCCAGATTGATTGTGTGCGTGTTGTCAGTGTAGACACATGGCAACACACGGGTGCATGTAACCTTCACAGGGGATCTGGTACCCCGCAAAACAGACAGCGAGATTGAAAAAGACTCTCGGATCAAGCTACCGTATGTACTTTGTGTCTACGAGTTGAGGATCACAACAGACAATTGGATCACGTTATGCACCGCCGTTCCGTTGTGCCTACACAACATATGCAGAAATGTACGCATATTTCCCCAACAACCAATGCTCGTGGTCCTCCTATGCTGTGTAAGGATAAGACGCACACCTAAAGACACCAGATGAAAGTCCCGACACGCGTGAAGAAAACGAAGCAACCGAGTATTGTACATTGCATGCGCATGTATGTATGTACGGTGAAAGAACACGGACGGCAGGCGCCCACAAAGGCAAGCAATAACTCCGCACCAAAAAAAAGGGGGACGAAAGGGAGTGCAGGCGCAGGGAGCTGAATCACAACCAACTTACAACAATGGAGATAGATACCTAGGAGCCAAGAGAAGAAACTACCTTCGCATCCCTATGCTCTGAGGTCGAGGAGCGTTCTTCGTCGATTGTTTTCGCAGACCAGGCCCAACCCACGCCACCTCCCCCATGTGCTGTCCACACTCCACACCCTCGACACAGAAATCCAAATCTGCCATGTTGCTGCTGCTATTATATATACTGCTGTGCTACATAAATCCGTCCGGGAACAGCGGGCCTTGACAAAGCGCTCGTACTTTGGTGCTCTTTCTCCCTGTATTTTTTCCATGAACAGCAGCATGTTTGGTACACCCCAACGCCGATGCTCCCTCTCCCGGTAACACCGGGAGAGCGCGGACGGGAGTCCGCTGGACTGCTCCCGCCGTAGCTGGTCCGTCGGATATACACACACCTGCTTCGCTGCTAACGCGCTCCCTTCACGACAGCACAAGGCGAGGAGGACGCCCAGAGCCATCAGGCTCACTCCCATCCATAGCCTGTATCGTCTCGATCCTTGAGCCATGTCTCCTCTCCTGCGCTGGCTGCCTGGCTGCTGAGGCTCTGCTCTGCTGTGTCCGGGGTTGTCTGGTTCGAGAGGAGGGGCGACGCAAGCAGGACTTTATGCAAAGTTTTGGTAACATGTGCAGGCGGTAGATGTGTTTTGTAACTGTCATTCCGAACTTCTACTGCTGTCGACGGCAACAGCCTCTCGACTCTCGACTCGACCCTCGACCCTCGACGGCCGAACCCGAGGACGCCGGGAACCGTTTTTATCGATGCCGAGTATGTGGTTCTGCTGCAGCGTGTAGGCTGAACCTCTTACCCCCGCCCCTTCCCTCGCTGCACGTCTCTGTCGTCTACTGCATGTCTTCTTGCATCAGACGGCAGGGCAGGAGTGCCCGAATGCCGGTAACATCGAACACCGCCTGTGCGGCCAAGGGAAACACGACGACGGTGGGAGAGAGTCTCCGGGAAAGCGCATCCCAAAGACCCAGATAGTTTTCAGAATTGGCAACAAAGCCGCGAGAATTGTTTTAGTCTACATAGGATGGTTATTTCTCAGGGCCATGGTGGCGACAAGAACAGCAGGGCCCCGGAGCGCCCTACCCAGAGGCAGCAGCGGAGAGGAGACGGCCGCTCGCCTGGGCACTTTCACCGACGCCAATCGAAACCATCAACAGGGTTTGGGACAGGGATGACAATGGCGCCAACAGCAAGCGCAATGTCAGGCCTGTCCACGCCAAGCCGGCATCAAACACCGGGCCGGCAATCCACAGGCTCCGGATCGGTGTCAGGTCGCTCTAGGTCAGGCAGCATCGGGGGATCCAGCAGCAGCCATGGCGGCGGCGGCGGCGGCGGCGGTTCACACGAAGAGGGAGGGGTGAGGGTGGTAGTACGGGTGAGACCGCTAGGCAAAGAGGATGAGGCAAAGGGGGGCGAAAGGACCATGAGGTGCTGCAACCCAAAGGCGCTTGAGTTCACGAGTACACCGCCACTTGCAGCCTCTGCCGCCGCCGCGGCGACGGCGGCGGGTGGCGGGGCGGGCAGTGGCAGCGAAGGGACAGGAGGGGGAGGGGTGGTAGGAGAGGGGAGCCGCCAGTATACCTTCGATCTATGTGCTCACGAAGGCTTCAACCAGGAAGAGATGTTCCAATCCTGTGGACTCATGCCGCTACTGAGCGCGGCTATCAACGGATATGCAGGTGTGCGGGCAACTTGTGCTGCAGGACGCGATAAGCGTGAGCTCGTATCTTTGCTCTCAGAGGCGGCCTTCCTGTTTGCCGCCGCCGCTTTCGGTGTCTCTATCCTTCCCTGTGGTCGTGCCGTATCTACGGAAGAACCCAGGGGCCACACAGAAGGCAGCATAATCTAGTAGACCTACGCATAGGCGTAGCCAGGGTAAGCCTTGCCTATCCTCCAAGAGTAGCCTCGTGAGCGGCGACGGAGGTCGTTCAGTGGAAAATTGCACTCCTCATTGCTCATGGTATGCTTAGTAGTTCACCGTTGTCCCTATAGAACGTTTCTTACATGCTTTCGACCCCACAGTAGACATAATTATCGTAGGTCTTCCGAGGTGTCTGCAAGTGAGTATTGGTCCCGCTCGCAGAACTGTCCCATTTCTCTTGCCCATCTTGTGCCCATGAAACCATGCCTCCCTTTCGCTTGCATCCCAACCACACATCTACGCCACGTGTACACGGATGAGCAGGAACAGTCTTCGCGTACGGGGCGACAGGCGCAGGCAAGACCTACACTATGTCGGGCCGCGAGCAGGTCCTCGGACCCAGCCGGGGCCCCGGCGGTCGCGTTCGACCCGGGAATAATCGGGGAAAGGCACCGCCTGCCGCCACCGGCCGCGCCGCTCCCGTCGCGGGCGTTAGCGACGGAACCGAGGGCCTGGTTCCGAGATCGATGCGGTTCCTTTTCCAGCAGGTGTCTGCGCTGCCGCCCGCGGTGACGATGAGAATACGAGCGTCCTTCTACGAGATCTACAACGAGGTCGTGTACGACCTCCTCACTCAGGGCGACCGCCGCCCCCTCCAGGTGTGGTTGTCTCGGCCGCACCACGAAAACATACCTTTCCTTCACGCGATAGAGACGCGACAAAACCTTCTGCTGGAATTTTTCTGTATGCATCCTTACCTCTCTTTTCCTTGGTATGGTAGCAAAAGGCGGTGGTTTTCACCGTCGTTTCCGGCATGGCTGAGCTGCACTGTACCACCGCAACAGAGAGACAGAGGTGGGCTGTTGACCCTGAAAAATCGTTCGCCGCGTGGCGTGGCGGTGCAGGTGCGGTACGACGTGAGGCGTGGGTTCTTCGTCCAGGGTCTGTTCGAGGTGGAGATACGCGGGCTCCACGACATCATGGCCGTGGTGGACGAGGGCAACGGCAACCGCCGGGTGTCCTCCCACCTTCTCAACAAGGACTCCAGCCGGAGTCACTCCCTCTTGACCGTGTACCTCGACAGCGAGCGGAAGGACCCGGAGGACGGGCACCTGGTCAAGCAGTTCGGAAAGTTGAGCAGCAGCCAGCGCCGCAGCGTGCCGTTTTGTGTGCCTGCCATGTGTCCCCCCCCAAAAGAGGGCCTCTTCGTGGTTCTTTACAAAACCCTGCTTGAAGACAGAGCCAGTAATCGCGTAGAAGGGCGGAGAGGAGGTTGTCGAGTAGCATGCATTGGCGGATGAGAAAAAGTAATCCCGCGCGATCCGCGAGTCGAACAATCCCAATCGGTCCCTGTGTGACTCAAGCATACGGGGGTGCGATCTGAAACCGCTACGTGTCCCCCCCCCCCGCCCGGAGCAGGTGTCGTTCGTGGACCTGGCCGGGAGCGAGCGGCTCAAGAAGTCCAAGGCCACCAACGAGAAGGAGACGGGGGCGATCAACAAGTCGCTCATGACCCTGGGGAAGGTCATCTCCGCCCTCTCCAAGCGGAGCGCGATCGCAGCGGCCGCGCCGGCGCATACGTCGGTCCTGGTGGAGGCCGCCGCCGCCGGCATGACCGGCGTCATCGACAACCTGACGCTCCCGGCGACCGCAACCGCCGCCGACAGCGGCGCCGACAGCAGGGGCGCCTCAGCCGCGAACAGGAGCGGCGGCAGCAGCGGCGGCGGCGGGGCGGGCACGCCGGCGGTCGTGGTGGACCAATCGGCGCCGGCGGGGGCCTCGGACATCTGGGTCCCGTACCGCGACTCGACGCTGACAAAGCTCCTGATGGACAGCCTCGGCGGCAACGGGCTCACACTCATGGTCGCGTGCGTGTCCCCGTCCGTGAGGCACGCCGAGGAGTCCGCGGCCACGCTGAACTACGCGGCGCGTGCGAGGAACATCCGGAACCGGCCGCTCGTCCGGGTGGACGCCAGGGAGAGGCTAATCAACGGCCTGCGCCGGGAGGTTAACCTGCTCCGCGAAGAGAACGAGCTGCTGAGGAGAAACCAACTCCAGCGACAGCAGCAGCAGCAGCTGCTGCAGCAGCAGCAGCACGACGAGCCTCTGCTTGGAGTGTATTCCGGGGGGGCAGGCGAGACGCTTGGAGTGTTCTCTGGTGACAACGGCGGCGGCGGAGGCGGCGGGCTGTTCGCGCCAGTGGCTTTTTCGCAAGACGGTTTTGAGCTGGCGGCAGGGGGAGGAAGCCTTGACGGAGGCGGCGGGGGCGGGGGAGCGGCGGCCCCTGAGGATAGAAGCCTGGCACTGAAGCAAGAGCCAGCGACTGCTCAGATCGGGCAGGCCAGTCGGGACGTGGCCCTACTCCTACGAAAGTACGAGGAGGAGGTAAAGTGAAGCTTCCGTGCGGCCGGCCTTCACTCGCTGATTTTTGGCCGGGGTTGGGGGGCACAACTTGGCGTGGCCAATAGAATAGAAGAACAAATTGTCAGTTGGGGGTGCATGTATGAGCACTCTACCCGGTGTCTAGTTCAAAGCTTTGAGCAGCTTCTGAGGAGTCCCCAGAGAACACAAGTTTGCGGTACAGAGCATCATGGCGAACAGGATTAGTTTAGAGACAACTTTATGCCCGTTGTTCGGTGCTCCTGCTGCTGCTGCTGCTGGTGCTGCTGCTGGTGCTTCCTCTGGTCCTCTCCTCCAGTGCCACCGTCTCAGAAACGAGGCGGCCTATGCGCAGCACAAGGAGCAGGAGATCGGCAAGCAGACCCGCCAGGCGCTGCTGGAGAACGACGCGCTTTCGCGCACGGTCGAACGGTTGCAGAGAAGCTTCGGCGGCGCTGGAAAGGCAAGCTAGCTGATGTACAAAAAGCGCGTGCCAAAATTTCGTGACGGACAGAATCCAAACGGGGGAAAACGTGCTCCGTTGGATTCGCGCGGTGGTCCTGGAAAATAGCAGCAGAGCCACAAAAAAGCAAACGGGAGGAGGCCATACGTAGACCATATGATTTCGGCGAAAGATTCGTTCAAAAGGAATCTTGATCTGGTCTCGCTTGTGGACGTACCTTGGGTAATTTTTCCTTTCCACCCCCCCCGCCTTCCTGCCTCTTTTCTCCACGCTGATCGCAAACAACGTCCTGCACCAAAATCCAGGCACCGTTCTCGACACCAACATCAGCGGCAGACCAAAACGGCGCGAGTGACGGGGTTCAACAACACCCACCACCAGGTGGCGCCCAGTCCCCCTCGGCGGCGTCGGCAGCAGATGCGGGAGAACGGCAAGAAGAGTCGCGCGCCGAAACAGTGGCGGGAGCCGGCACGGGGGGCGCCGAGACCACCCCGGCAACGGCAGCGGGAAACCTGGGGCAGGAAGTGATGCACCTGCGCAGGGTGAACGAGGCCCTGGTGGAACGGGTAGAGTACTTCGAACGGGGTCAGCTGAAGTCACCGGTGCGATGACACGTGTTACGAGGGAGGGGGGGTGGGGGTACTAATGTTTTTCATGCCTTCGTTGTGAAGACCGCCCTCGAGAGGACGGAGTGGGAGAGTGGGTATGGGGTTCACTCCGTTGTTGCTGCTGTATTGCCCTTGATCAGTCGGTTTTGCAGGCCGTCGACCTCCCAACTTGTCCGAGGCGGATCGCTGTGGCAGCCTTCTCCCAGAAGAGACGCCGCCATCACCCGGCCGCTTTGCAAACACGTTTCTGCGGTACTGTACGCGGAATCAACCGCTTTCGTTCCTGGCCATTAGCGCATTTATTGAGGGCAGGCAGAAGGGCGTGCGTCCGGAGGAGGACGGGGGAGGGGGTGGGGTGGGGGGGGGGGCACGGTGGCGCACGGCTTTCCCAGCACATGGTTTGTAACAACGGTTGCTCTCGATCCTAACCTCCGAGAGTTCATGCTCTGGCGTGAGGGGAGCGAGCGGCCCACAGGCCAAATCATTGCTCATACTTGCTTCGGAAGCGTTCTTGCAATGCCGACCACCCTACACACTTCCGAGCCCCGCAGCCTTCGCACATCGTTCTTTGACGACCCCTTGCCTCATCCGTACAACCAATTCCACGCAGAGCGATCGGGGAGGCGGCGGCGGAGGCGGGAGGGCTGTACGCGGAGGAGTGGCAGGTCGAAGACCTCACAACATGGGCGAGGGAAGGGGCGGGGGCGGGGGTGCGGGCCGGGGAGCCACTCTCGGCAACAGCTCCGCCAGAATAGCAAGGCCGGCGGTGTCGACGGCGGCAACGCGGCCGACGCCTGCGGCAAGCACCAACACGGCGACGGTAAAGCCCGCCGCGGGGTCATTGACGGCGAAGAGCCCGAGGCCCGCCAAAGCAACGAGGGCTACGCCAGATGGCGAGACGGCGGCGACCAAGAGAACCCGTGACGATGGCGGTAGCTCCACAGCGACGCGAACGAAAGCCACGCCCGCCGCCGCCGCGGCTGGAGCGGCACCGGTGGCAACAGCCGCGCAGCGCCGGCCTGTGCCGGCAGCACCGGCCGCCAGATCGAACTCGCGCCCCGTCAGAAAGCATAGCATACAACGGGATGCGCAGGGACGGATTCTCTTGCGAGGGGACAAAGGTTACGATCCCCTGGTGGTGGCACCGATGGCGGCCGCTCCGCCACCGGGGAAACCAGATCGCGGCGGCGCCAGCAGCGCAAGGCTGCGGGGGGGAGTGGGGAGGGCCGGCGGCGGGAGGGGTGCCGGTGGCCGCACGACCGTTGGCGACAAGGGCATGGTAGGTCAGACCACGGAGTTCGGTGAGCCGGGTAGAGCGAGTCGCCTTTCCCGTGACTCTCTTGGCGAGACGTCAGCGGCGGCAGCGGTGGGAGAGCCGCAGCCGAGAGTCGAAGATTCACCCTCCGTAGCAGCAGCGGCAGCAGCAGCAGCAGCAGCAGCAGCAGCAGCAGCAGCAGCAGCAGCAGCAGCAGCAGCAGCAGCAGGAGAGGCCGTGGAAGGAGCAGAGGATGGAAGGGCGGGAACGTGGCCGGTTGGGGGTGGCCTCGACAACGACAACGACCATGACGACGGTGATCCAAAGCACAGGAGGGGGGGAGACGACGGAGCTGACGGCGGCAACGGCGCCCGTCCAGAGGGGCAGAGCGACTCGACGCTCATGAAGACGCCCGCTGCTGCAGCCATCGAGGGCGACGAAAGGGCGGCGGCGGCGGCGGCGGCAGCTGAGGAGGGAGCTATTCCCCCGCCAGAGGCTGGCAGCGCCCGGGCCGACCAGGAAGAGGCAAGCGAGCGCGTTGGCATGAAAGAATCCGGTGAAGTTCAACAGCGCTCAACAGGTGATGACAACGGCGTTGATACGACCGACCATTCTTCCTCAGCAACAACAACAGGGGACGAGGCAGCAATGGGGGAAGTTATCCCCCCGCCAGAGGCTGGCAGCGCTCGGGCCGACCAGGAAGAGGCTAGCGGGCGTGATGGCCCAAAAGAGTTCGGCGAAGTTCAACAGCGCTCAACAGGTGGGGACAACGATCTTGATCCAACCGATCACTCCTCTTCAGCGGCAGCTGCAGGGGGCCCGGGGAATGAAAAAGAGGGGAAAACAGGTACGTTCGTCCCGGAAAAAACGAGGGATGAGGCGGGGACGGCTGAAATTGCTGACGGGGGCGGCACTAGCCGAGGAAACGCCGATAGGACGGCAGGGAGGCCGGCGGACAAGGAAGAACAAGTGTCCTCCTCTCAAACCGAGGGAGACAAGGAAGAACCTTCTGGTGCTGGTGGTAGGTGTTCTGTTGGACATGGTGATGGTGATGGCGGTGGTGGTAGTTGTGGTGATAGTGAAGAGGGCGGTGCTAGCGGTGAGGGACGAAGCGGGGTCGAGCACAGTGATGATACCGCACAACAAGCGAATAGTGGGGAACCGGCGAAGCAAGCGGATGGCGAGGCTGGCCAGACGGAAGCAGGTCCAACAGAAAAACCCCCGGCCGAAGACCAAAAACGGGTTTCTGCGAGTAGTAGTGCCACCTTCCTCAATCCAACGGCGGCCGGTATGGTGGCACCACCTGAGGAAGAAAACGGGGACGAGGGCGGGGATAAGGGCTTGCCATCGCCTGGTCGACGACAACATAGTCGGGACTCGCCTCCGTTGCCCGACCAAGAAACAACTGGACAGGGATTGGTCAACGCGAAACGGGGCCGGGAAGGCGACGGCGGCGGCGGCGGCGGCGGCGATACCGACGGTAGTAGTAGCGCCCCCGGTGCAAGCGATCGCTCCGATTCTTCTGCCGCTGCGAGTGACAAAGTTTGGGAGCCCGGGAAGAACCCCTCGAAGTCAAGATCGAAATCGACCCGGTTGATGCGAAGGGAGTCGACGTCGGAGAGTGGTTCTGTTACTGCGGGTAGCAGTAGAAATAAGAAGGCGGGAGGTTTTTTCAAGAGAAGCAAGAAAAAGTAGTTTTTTTTTTCGGTCTTGACACATTCTTATTTTTAGGGCGTACGTACACACAACATACCACATATTTTTTTAAATATCCTCCTACTTGAATATTGTGTCCTCTGTTTGTTTACCAGAAGCTTTCATGTACGCATGCATACGGTCGGACTCAAGATTTTATGTTTTCGTCTCCAAATTTGAATCCTCAAGTTCTACACTGTAAGTTGAGGTTTGGTCTCCAAGTCTGGGAAGAAGGCATTGAGTGGGATTTCCCCTCCCTTGTTGAATATGCTTGTTGTGGTGAATGAGCCCCAATTTGTCTTTGGGGGACTTGACAAATCAGAAACAAACTCTGTGTCCCCCTTCATCGTGTCCTCTCTGTCGCCAGTTCCAAGAGAAGGCCGGGGTTTTATCGCGAACGGATAGACGACAAGTTAAGTAGTATTTCTTCCTTCCGTGTTGTTCATATTTTCCAAGGAAGCTGTGCATCAGCTACACCCGTCGTCGTAGAGGTGTGCAAGGTCCAGAAAAACGGTAATTAGACTAGTAAACCTGGCGCCGACGCCGAATTGTTTGATTGCAGACAAAAAATTGTGCGTCTTCATGCAGAAAGCAGAAGCAGAAACTATCCGTAAGAGGCGGAGAGAGAGAGAGAGAGAGAGAGACAGAGAGAGAGAGAGATGACACTCCACGTAGATCGAATGTCGAAGCTTTATTAGGCACCAAGAAGAATGGTTTGGAAACACCTCGTCGAGGTCTTTATTATGTAGAACCCTCTTCTTTACCCTACCCTAACCCTCCGTACCCACCACTTGGTTGTGGAGCAATCGAGTTTCGAAGGTCGGTCTCCGTGTGTGCTATACATCTCCGCCTCTTACGGTCGGTATACGGAGTATGTATGCACCAAGCAAGCAAATCTCAACAGTTTATTTTGATGACCCCGAGGCATTAACGACAAACAAACCACGACAAACCCGACTACAGACAAATCGGGTTTCCTCACGACGAGCAGGGCCAGCATAAACATAGTCGATCCGTACGCATGCATACCTGTACGCGAATCCAGGAAAATCGCAAAAAACAAGCGAAATCTTTCGGCTGATTCATGCTGCGGCCGGCCCTGGCCACGCACGCACTCGGTTGGTTGCTATATATTGTGCCGTGGTCTGTGTAGCAATTAATCGCAAATATGAAGAGAGGGCATTCTTCGCAACCGTTAACGGTCTCGCCTTGCGTACGTACGTACACCCTTCGTTTCATAGGCGAGAGGGGGTAATGTTTTTCTTCTGCCTTGCGGGACGGGTGCCTTGCATTCATTCGTTGCTCGCCTGCCTTCTCAATTCGTTCGACCATCGACCAAACGCATCCTTCCCCCTTTTGGAGGCATGTCACTCCCAGCCTGCTCCTGGTAGGCACAGCCCATATTCGACGCCCTCGGGTTGGTGTAGGTGGCACATGCATGCATGCGTGAGCTCATACATACATGGACCAGAAACAAAGAGGGCGCGTTCGTTGTCTATCCACCGTTGGTATACTCTTCTTCTCGTCCTTGACTCAATAATTGCCAAACCCCAACACTGTTTTTGATCATTATGCCACTACATGCCACTACCGCCGGTGGCTCGGCGAAAATGAACCAACCGCTAAGATCGCCGGGGCCGAGACATCAGTTAGTGCAGGCTTTGTCGGACTGGAACACGCAGCGTCTCCAGGTCCGCTCTCTTCGTCCCGTCACAAACACCCAAGAGGCTCGAAAAGACACAGCAACCCAAATAATCTCGTCAAGAAACAAACCGTGTGTGCGTGCGTGCGAATCCTTCGGAAAAAGACCCCCACACTTCCACCCGGGCTCTCGGATGTCATGTCACAAACAAGAAAACATAAAAAGGAGAGGAGAGGAAAAAACAGAGAAAAGTAACACGAGGGAGTCTGTCTTACAGTCTGGCCGCTCTTTGACATTACCGCTACTACAAGCCAGTCCGTGTCTGCGAACGAATGTTTAGGGCCAAGCAAGCGCAGCAGCGAATAAAATACTCCCGAGAAAAAAAATAGCACCGTGCAAAAAAAAAAAACAACGGCACGCACACACGTACGCAGCAGCAGCAGCAGCTTTGCGGACAAAGTTAAAAACACAGCAGCAGTGAAAACAACAACGGCGACACCGCACACAGCCGTTCCAAGACCTGGAAGACCAGCAGACCCCCCAGAAACCCGTTCATCATGCGCACCGCCCGCGCCATCATGCTTGCTTCTAGGCGACACTCTTTTGTCACATTTCAGGGATGAACGAAAACGAAATACGGATAGGCAGGCCATCGGGACCCGACCTGCAAACTTCCCTAGACAAGTAAAGATAAAATGAGCTGGCAAGATCGGGCCAGGGAAACAAGACCTCATCGGCACACAGTGGTGATTTCCCAAGTCGACCTGAAGTCCGTAGACGAAAAGCGCAGCTAGCCTCCCCCCTTGCCCCCCCCCCCCCCCCCGCATGTCAACCCTACAAACCTTTGGCAACGAGCGGGAGGTGGTGCGAGTGGGTGGGGGGCCAAAAGGG